CATGACGGACCAAGAGGCCTGGTCAAGTCCTGCAGGACTATGGAAAACATGCTAATTGAATCTCTTTCTCTAAAGCTACAGAAATAACAAGTTCATAGGACATACAAGCTATGAGACAAACCTTCTGGCACTGTTCCACCTATAGTCTTCAACAGCCAAGAGGATCTCCTGGCTTCTGTGACAACTGAATGGTCTTAGTCCCAAGAGCCATGTTATTAATGGTAATTCTCCTTCCTGGAAAAATTGAGATGTCTCTTTGCCTGAGAATACTCCCATCACACACAGCTCTCAACTGAACCAAGCAGACTGGTATCACTGAGCCCATTTTTGAGAAGTAACTAAAGAGATTTGGCCAGGGTCACAAAGCCAAAGAACAGAGCATGGGCACCTCACACAGTGTCAACTCTAATTCACCATACCCACTCTCCATACCCACTGCAGCCTGAAGTATATAAGGTCAGTTGAACTTCAATTCTCTTTCTTAAGTGATGACCCACAATAATGAAGTTTATGTGCTGGCATTAGTTCAAAAATCTGTGCTTTTACTAACACAAAATCTTCCCTGGATCACAGGTAGAATTAATTCTCCCTTCTCTCCAAATGCAGCACTTGTATAGGCACTCAGTGGTCCATTCAGATCCTCAGGTGATTTGCATTCCTTACCAAGAAAGAGGCATTCTTTCATCACTAAAGTTTATTCATAACACAACTTAATGCTAGACTGTCCCCTAGGCAGCAGCACAAGGAATGCCAGACTCTATGTGAACAAACAAGTAAAAACAGGTAAAAAGAAAGAGAAAGTATTTTCACAAAAACAGAAGCCCACCAGAGATTACTGAGAGAGGACATGTTTGCATGTACACTCAGGGATACAGTAAAGGGCACTTGGTAACCCTACTTTAAAGGTTACAGATAAAGCCCTCACTAGTGATTTCGGTATGTCATAAAATTGATGCCGACAACTTAATTTTCAGACAGCAAATTTTTGATACATGAGCAAAATTCCATTCTATCATGGTAATTTACAAAACCCCTAAATTTTCTCTGGTTTATATGGAGCTGATTTCCTCCAGGGAATGAATCTAAAGGGTTTCAGCTGTGTGGATTTTTTCTCTTCACCTGGATGCTGCTGACGCTTCCTCTCCTGCTACTGTTCCGACTCTCGTCAGTTGTATTAGAATTATAGCAGATGGCATCAAAGCCCAAAATTCCTCCAATGCAGTCACCAATGAGACACACCTGAGAAATAAAAAGTTTTTTTGGGAGATGTAAGTGTTTTAAAAGGAACAAAAAGCATCACAACACTGCAGAGGAGTTGCTGTCTTACTTCACATGCTTATTACTGGTTTTTACACCTTGGTTCCTAATGCAGCACTTTCTTCCACTTCCTTTTATCTCTAGAAATAAGTCCTATGCCAAGAATATCTGTCTCAGGGACTACTTTGACCAGTGGAGTTCTACCAAATGGATTAGAACTCTTCCAGCTGCTTGCAGCCAGATTCCAGCTCAAAAAGTCCAGATCACTGGATAACTGGTGTCACAAAGATTTCAAGCCACTTAACATTTCCTTCAGAGTTATACATGAAAGAGGACCTCAAGAGATTGGTTCTCTCCTGTCAGCACAGGGGAACAGAACTGTAAAATGAGGTGTTAAGCAGGGAGATTCACTCTTGCTTCACATTTAATAGAAATTACCTTCAAAGTATGGACCTGACAATTAAAAATGCACAGACTACTAAAATTGGGAATTCAACAGTTGGAGTAATCTACCTCGTGAGCCAACTCCACCGAACGTCTCCCCATTCTGTAAGAGATGATTCTTACTCCTTCTTCCCCTGTCTGTGTCTGAGTAATAGCTTGGTAACAACCTCCACAGCTTCACAGGCTCCAGCAAGCCTCTCTCTCCAATTCTCAAACTAAGGCACTCATCTAGTCTGTTGTTCCCAACTCTGATTAGTTTAGCAGAAGAAATTACCTCTTCTTACAAACCTTTACTTGCTTCTAACCTTAACTCAGCTTGGCTACAACACTAAACTGCAAGTTTTGGATACAGGATGTTGTGCATGCTTTCTTCCAAGTGAAGCATGTTAGGAAAAGCAAGTTCTTTGAGATGCAGTAGAGAAAGACCTCAAACTTCTCTCAATCCATCTCCACACAGTACTCATCCTGAATTGAGTATATTTCTTGTACTCCATTAAAATGATAAAAAATATTTTTACAATAAAATATCAAAACAGATTAAGGTAACATCTATCCTAAGACAATTCTAATTCTAGAGTTGTACGCAATTGAACAGCATGCTGATTTACTCTTTGATTTTCAAATTCCTATGCCACACGATGAAGTCCACAAAGAACTGTAAATCACATGGTACAGGTAACCTTAGTAAAATTAACAGCACATTTTATAAGGAATTGGTAATATCTTCTTTGGTTTTCCAGTGCATTTCTTATCTAAGGTAATGGAATTAACTGCTTCCAGATACTGTATAAAACCAAAAAGGCAATCTCCTAATGAACTTGTAATATAAATGAACAGAAGTGACCAAAATATGAAAGAAAAGATACACACAGGGTGGGAGTCAGGATGGTATTATATGGTATGTAATTTGTAAGTACAGGACTTATTCAGAGGCAGAGTTGAAATTTCTCTCCAAGGAGCAGGGCAAAGAACTGTAGACAGCGTGACAGAGAAGTCGCTTTCATTTAAACAGTACCGGTAACTGCTGATGGTGGAAATTCTCTGGAGCATACAGAGATCATGCAGACTCTTCCGCATGAAATAATGTACATGATTTGTAAAACACACCAACGTGCTTTGTTGTAGCTTTGTCAAAGAAAAAACATAACACTAAATTTCTATGGACAAAATTGTTTTCACATGATTTCTGTAACTAGTATAATTCTTCTTCATATAATTTCACCTTTCATACTGTCATTGCAGTTGTGCTGTTTTAATGCTTCAAGCAAGGATTGTAAAATTGGCTTCAAACCAAAGTTACAGCACAATGTTAGTACAGCCATGGCAAATAACTTGTTTGTGTAATAAGACACATGCTTTCCTTCAAAGGCTACAATGTACTCTATATTAAATGTCTTTTCTTTCTTTTTTGAAGCGTGGGGGGTCACTGTGCTTAAAGGCAGTGTGTGTTTCTGTATATGTAGAAGGTTCCATAGCAAAATTATTTCAGTAACTCACACAGGGTCTCAATATCATATATCTATGTGAAGCAGGAAAGTACTAGATTTTGTAGTCTAAAGATGGCAAAGCAGGAACAGTAACTGACATGTCATTCAAAAGAAATCTGCAGGTGACTTCACTGGTGAGTGGGTCACAACAGAAAAATTACATGACTTTCCTCAAAGCTATACACAAAATCTGCAACACTGATGGCACCTGAATATTTGTCTCCTATCTTTCTTTGCTGTCAATTGTTTTAATACTATTGTAATGGAGGCAAAAAAGAAATACAAATAGTTAAATGCTGGATTTCTTACGATCTTAGAGATGCCCCAATTTTTCTATCAGCTATAGTAGATGTGTGAGGAACTCATTAACACAGATTATCATTTGTCTTGGGCTGTCATGCTTGTTCACTGCTTAGCATATCCCACTTTTCTCACCTCAAAGGCTCTCATACATTACCACAGTCTGCAGCAATATGTAGTAAGAGCTTAGGGGTCAAAATGCTTGTGGGAAAAGGTATATAATCTTCTACCAGCTGAGTAAGTCCACTTAAGACAGTGCACAGAATTCCAAAAGATTTCTCATGCTGGGCACTGAGAAGGCATTTTACACAGGTTACCCCATGCTAACATTTATTCATCACATTTGCAGAATTGTCCCACGCTCTTAACTCAAAACTCTCAACAAAATGGCTTAAAATAAACAGCCTTGCTCTGAAAGAATATTATTTTGAAGTAATAGAGAATATAGTCCCACCTGTCCATTAAAACCAGCCCCATCTGTAGACTTGAGAAACTCGTTGTAAACTTGATTGGCTCTACTGATCACCATGGCAACTGCATCCTGGTACTGAGGGGATGAAACAGCCAGCAAAGGCAAGGCAGCCAACGGGATGTGGTCTTCACTGCTGCTGAGACAGCTCTCATCATAGCTGTAGGGATTTAGGCTAAAGAAGGACGTTATGATCAGGAGAACTGCAAGAGGCAGCACACAGCATTAGAGAATGGACAGTTATTAACAGAAATGGGTTGGGCTATTGCAGTGCACAAGGAGAGAACACAGGAAGGATTATTTTCTCACAGAATTCAAGTGCTTGAAAAAAAATCAAGGAGTTACTGCTTTAGATGAATGAGATCATACTAGAAGGCATTTCTGTAGTTAAATATACTTGGTGCAATTTTACCACATACAAGTAGACATAATTTAGAATGGCAATGACATTATTGCATTTCAGCTTTTTTTTTTTGCTCCCATATTACATTATCTCTTACTACATCAGAGAGTAGTAACCTAACCATCACAATGGAATATTGTTTCATGGAACACAAGTGCGACAGGTGTATTGCTTAAAAGCATATCAAAAGATTTTTCCCAAAGCAGCACACATTCTGAAGTCACATGTAAATGTTTGCACAGTAACATTTAGCAAAAAGGAGATGACTGAAAAGGCGAGCTAAAATCTGCTAGAACATCAGCTTTATTTTAGCTTGGCTGTGCACCCTGCAAGTTTCTCAGTAAATCTGCCAATCATGTATGTCTTGACTGACTTTTATTGGTGAGTGGGGAAAACAACTCATGGAGAGCTAAAGATGGAAGGCACATCAGCATGTGCCAGATTCTCTTATATAAGCTGACTGTCCTTTAGAGACTAAAGGAAAGTCAGAAGCATTTTGGCTAATTCAGCACATGCACAGTTCACCCAAAGCCACAGGCAGGCCACTTGAACACTAGTTTGTATTCACTTTCTTCTGGACTTGGTGGGCTATCACAGCATTAAAAAGCAAGCTGCCTGACATGGATTTAGTCTGTGTCTTTGCTAAAATCTGCATCCTGGAGAGCATTACCAGGGTAATGGAGGAAGAACAGAAGGTCTGCAATGCTCAAGCATGGAAGTTGGTCTCTGTTGATGTCCCCAAGCCTCACTGGACATTTCCACACTTGTCTCTGGCTGAAGCACTCCAATGATTTGGTATTTTTCATCCAAAGTAGTATAACAGTTTCTGTGTCCTGGAGCTCAGATGATCTGCCAAGTTGTGTCAATTTACCAATTAACACAACTTCACTTTGACAGATAATTAGATCACCCAAATGCACAGCAGATACACAGTTATGAATAATTCTCAAAAATTAGAACCGAATCTTCAAAATCAACATAAAAAGCCTCATTTACTAATAAAATTGGCAGGTAACACCTCAGAAAGGGAAAGGAATAAACACATGAGGAAAAAACCCTTACAATATGAATGTTTTAAATGGTAAACAATACCTGAATATGTTTTCATAATAAAATAAAATGCAAAATTTATTCACAAGAGACTTAAATGAACCAGAGCCAATGAAAAAAAATAAGTAGATGGAAATTTATTGTGGGGTTTTTTCCATAGCTAAAGCAATATAGATCAAACTAAAATAGAGAAATTATTGTCTAGACAATCACAGTTAACTGGCATAGAAATGTGGGTTTGGGTTTTTAATTCCAACACATTTTGTTGTAAAGGTTTAGCAACAGAGACCACCATTGTCACTGTAGACACAACACAAAGGGAAGAAACATTCAGGCCACTGAAAGAATGCATGGAAGAAATTAAGTTGTTTGTCACAGAGGACATGGTAAGTATTAGTGCTGAAGCTGAGAAGAACACAAGTCTTATTATCTTGAAAATCATGAGCTTGGAAACATCACACTTGTACAAAGGCTGGAGATGGAAACCACAAGGAATCAGCTTAAATCACTCAGCGTAAGAGCCTGACAGATAAAGTCACCAGTGTTAGAACCTAACACTTCCCCAATGAAAGACAGCAAATGACTCAGCTGCAAGAGAGACCTGGTCTTCCATGGTGGGTAAGAGCACACCTGGCTCCCAGGGATTGATGGCACACTGACATCTCCAACAGGGATAACTGAGACTGCACCATGGAGAGGAGTGTGAGAGGAGAAAGCAGAAGGGGAAATCACCCATATGGTAACGTGTTTGGATAACTATCATGCAACATTTTTTTGGCAATCATGGTTTGGCTATCTGCAGTTCATGCTGACAGTCCTAGGTACGTGCTAGTGCTGTTTCTGAATGCCAGAATAAGCATTCACTTCCTTAATTTTCAGAATAAAAAAACCCCAAGGAATAGAGAATAAGTGTTTGCTTCCTAAATGTATGTTTTGTTTTGTCCTTTTTTTTCCTTCTTTCTTTTTCTCACTCCCTCTAAATTTGCAGTAACTATTCTTCATTTTGGCTAATGTAATTTAGGAGCTCTAGTCTGAGGTGTGAATCAATGTATGCTCATCAAGTCACATGCTATAAAACGCAAAACAGTTGATCCACTCTGGGATATTTTTCTCCCTGAAAAGGGAAGAGATGGCTTGAAAGTCATCTAGCTAGAACAAGAATGTGCCTTAGTTTTAACCCTTTTCTGTCCTTAGCAGCAAAGACAGAGCTAAATGTGACAGGGGATCAGTCATGCATTTTATATTTACACAGGTCACACAAACAGTGTGTTTCTGACTTATATGAGAGACAGAGGAAACTGAAAGTGATGGGATTAGATGGGAAAATACCAGTTTAAACAATCTGAACATTTACGAGATGGAGTGACTTCGTCCTGAAAGTTCTTTAAGCCACTGTTTGCAAGGCAGGGAGAAGAACTGCATAGGTGCATTCAGATAAAAAGTCCCACTGAAATCCTTCATAGGGAACTCAGCACACAGGCACAGCAGAATTCACAACCTATGCCAAGGTAAACACTGGGCCATACTACCTTGCACACACTGTGCCTGCATCTTGAGAGAATGGAGGCTACATTCAGACCAAATAAGAAATCCTGTACCACTGCTTACTCAGCCATCTGGCTCACCCTCAATGAAACATTACAGTAATTAAAACCACCCTTCCTCCCCCACAGTTTGTTAAATGGAATGTTTACCACAACTATGTGTTCTACAACTGCATCTTGGAGTTCCAGCTATGAAAGCTGCTGAAATGAAATATGAGACCAGGGAATTGTCTCTCCTTTTGTCAGCCCCAAACGGGTACGTGACAAGCAGCTCCATGCAAGAACATACCACTGTAATACCAATCTTATGTCAGTACTTGGAATGATTTTATCGGACAGCAAGCATTCAGTCTGATGTTCTTCAGACTGACTAAATACTGTGTGCTGCAACAAGAGTGAATAAAGATACAGATAAAGAAAGTAGGAGCTATATTTGGGCTGCCACCACATACTCTTCCTTCCACTCTGCCAGCTCTTCTTCCAAACAGCTGAGACCTGCAGGCACTGCACTATGGCATACATAAGAGCACTAAGTCCTTTGTTAACCAATAACCCAAACGGACAAGGATGACCTTCCACTCTTTGCTGTTTCACGCCCTCTTCTACTATCAGTCCTCTTGCTTTAGAGGGCAGCAACCTTGGATGCACGCACACTTCTTTCCTGGTTGTTTCCGTGTATTTCCCCTTGATGCAAATAGTCAGGTACACCTTCCACTCTGGTGTGCACACGGCCACCTCCGCCTCCTACATGCCTGTCACAGCTTTAAGCCCAGCTAGTATTTCAGAACTTTAATGTACTGTCTATCTCTTTAACTCTGTCATCTGGACAGCAGGCATCACCATTCCCGCATCTTATGGCCTCAAGCATGGTTGGAGACCTCCTCAGCTCATCTGCATGGTTTTTGCTCTACATGAGCTTCAAATGTAACTTTGGGCACTGTGTTGCAACAAAAAGACTATAAAAGCGACTATCAGCTTCATACAAAACCAAGAGAAGTTTCTCTTCACTTAGGAAAAAAGAAATCAAGAAAATCTGATTCTCTCCTCCCCGCATCACAGTTTTCACTAGTTAATCCTGGTTTACATTTGCAGAAGGGTGGAAGCAGTCCCAAGAGCACATGTGTGTTTCTCCTTTCTCTATATTAAATATTAATATTTAGGTTTAATTATTAATGAATTATTAATACATACTAATATATTAATATAGTATATATTAATATAGTATATACTAAATATTTATGCCAAGAAAAATAACACTAAGGAAAGAAATGTTACCTGAAAATGTTCTCTCATTCAATGAGTGAATTTCAAGACTGAGAAAGCAAGTGAAGAAGAGAAGAAAATCAACTTACTTGGAAACAAGAGAGAAAGCTGCTGAACAGATTGCTGGGCAGGGAACAAGTCTCATTAAGACGTGGCCCAAAGAGGCAGGGAAATGGTCTCGGGTCACCTTCTCAAACACAGAACTGAAGGTGTTGATGTCTGCCAGCTTGCTGCTGTGATCCCCAGCTCCCATGTCTAAGATGTTCCCCCCATGCAGGATCAAAATTAGTACATGAATTTTGCAGTTCTGGTGTTGAACTCCTTCCTGTGAAAAAAACAGGGAATAAGAAGGGCAGAAGCATTTTTATGGACAGTGTTGGTATACTTGGTATCATCATTAGCAGTGATTTTTTTTCTGCCACCATCACTGTGATCAGTTTGTGATATTTGCCTTCCCTGGCGTGGGGGGATGAGGGGGTGAGTGCCCTGTGTTCCACTTAACAGTGAGTCTGGTAGAGCCCACTAGGCTCTGACTGAAAACCTCTGCAGCACAGATGTAGGTTTCAGACCAACGAAGATTAAAACAGCTTTGTGTACATCAAAAGCTATTTTAAATACTCTTGAGACCGGAGAAGAATCTCAATCTCCACAGGCAGCCTAAGTCTAGAAATCCTGAACAACTGCTGCATTTACTGGCAAGGTTCTCATTCAAATCATCACAGGTTCTGAACAGACAAAGTTCTCTGCCCATGAAAACATCTAGCAAAAGCAGATGATACAGTTATCTCAGCCTTTTGAGGCTGGCAGCTTCTTATTAAAATGAAAAATGGGGGTAATTTACCCAGACACACACTGGAAAAGTAAAAAGTGTATCATTGCTGATATCCATAAAGCTCACAAATAAATTTATGAATATATGAATACACACATACACAGACAATAATCAGTATGCAGCAAGATATTTTCTACTTGAGACCAGAAAAGCATTTCAAATGTCTCAGAACTCTACCTCTTTTTCCTCTTTACCCCCTTCAGAGTTATGTGCACTCAAAGAAATAAGTAATACATTAAAAGATTAGATATTTTGTTTTTAAATCTTGACTGACATTTTCTTCTTCACTTTGGATCACATGATTACTGAAGACCTCTAGTTCCTAATCAAATATGAACACACAACAAAAACAGCAGTAACATTTCTTGTGCTTGTCTGAGGATTGTTAATTCCTAGGTTGGGTGATTTACTGAGAATCTGGTAATGTTCTGGACACTTTATTCAGAAGGTTTGGAACAAAGGGAAATTGATAACTAGCAGTTGTATAATGGTGACAGAGAAACAGCGGAAAATGAGAGAACTGTAAGTTATTCCATACAGCCACTATCTCTGTTCAGCCCATGATTCTAAGTATCCAGTCCAAGTATTCATTCTGAAGGCATTTTGCTGACGTGACTTGTATCTGCTTGAATACAGGACTGTATGAATACTTTTAAGATTCCATTTTTCCTTGCACTGATTTACAGTTTCCCTCTCCACATGGTTCCATTCCAGTTATTCAGAAGAGAAATTCAATTCTCTTTAAAAGCTAAGAGTAGCTCCTTCCACGGCCTATGCCAGCTTATAAACAAGCAGCACTGCTGATGGGTTGGTGGCACTGAAAGCTTCAAAACAGGTCAACTCAATTCAAGTAGGACAATATTGCTGAAGTCACTGTTAGGAGAAGTCTCTCAGCTGTATTTAACTGGTATCTTTCACAGGAAGACAGTAAGAGAATGAAATTAATTTGTCCCTCAGCAGCAGCTCAGCCATGACTGAGACAAGGGGCTCAAGAGCTAATCAACCGGACATCTGAAGTCAGTCAAAGACTGTCAGCATTTTCAGGGGGCTACAGGACTGGAATTCTTCAAAAACAGAAAAGCAGACATCTCCATTGCCTGTCCTACGTGCAGACAGAGGACCTCTTAATCAGTTTGCTGGAAGGCACCACAACTTGTTTAGATTCTTTCCTGCTTCTGAAAACTGTGATTCTGTTACACTCAATTTCATGACTGCTGCTGAACTAGCTCCACAACTTCCACTCAAGTACTAAGCAGACATAACAATCTCCCTTCAGAGAACTGGTCTGTATTTCCACCTAGGGATACAATGTCTTAAAAGCGTGTGATGATTTTTAGTGATTTCATGTGCACCTGCTGAAGAAGGTAAAGCCACACTAAGCCACTAAATGTTCCTCATTCCATAATACATTATGAGAGCATTTCCACATGTCTGCTCCCCGGAAATCAGTGCAGCTTGTTTTAGGAAACAATCTCACCTCATTGTCCTCGTGTATTTCAATACTGCCTTGTGCTGGGCACCTCTGTTTTCTTAAAGGGGCTCTATATAATTCACCTGAAAGGAAAAGAGACATAAATGGCCATATAAATATTTGTCTGCCACATCTTTTACAGACAGCTAGGGAGGTAAGGCGTATTTCTAGTTTCAAGACAGAAAGTTCTGTCCACAGGAAATCCTGTGGACAAACAGAACAATACACAAGGTTTCTTGCAGCCCTACATATCAGATGTTCTTCTATTCCTAACAGCAACATTTAGAACAGGTTCAGGTCCTTATACAGAGGAGTGTAGTACTGGTACAGCTGCTGTTGATCCTCTGTGCCTTACTGAAGCAACAGCAGAAGAGGTCACCTGAGGTTCTGCATCACTCTGCTCATCCCATATAGGTATCTTAGATACTCTGGTATGTCTTAAATAGCACTACACACCTCTATGTAGGCAAGTGAATTAAGCCTTTCAGGTTTTCCAAAGACCTTCCGGATCTAATTCCACAAGCCTCTGTAACTACCTGGGGAACTCCCAGAAGTAACCGCAGTGCTCCATTACCATGATGCCAAACAGGAGTAACAGACCATAAAGCAGAAAACAATTTCTCCTAAAAAAAGTGTCTCAGTTTGAGAGACAGGGGTCTGCCAAAAA